CCTGCCAGACACCCCATTTTCTCCCCGTATGAGTCCTGGGGCCCCAGAGACTTCCCGGAACCGGAGTTCAGAGCCGTTGGGAGCTTGTGACTCCCTCCGGATTCAAAAAGACAGCCACGTCCTCAGGTGCCAGACCCTTTCTGCGCGCGCCCCCTCCCCCTACCTCTGCACTTTACTTCCGCAGCTCCTCTGGCTCTCAGTGTGCTTTTCTTTCCTTCTAGTTGTAGAATTTACACTCAGCCAGGCTTCCTGTAGTTCTGGATGATGTCCGTTTTGTGTTTTTGATGTATTATTCGATTGTTGTGGGAGGCAGCAATTTCCCAGTGTTTATCTATGCCGCCATCTTAGTTTCTCCGGTAAGTGATTTTCTTACAGACCTTGGGAAACTGGAGGATGAAACAAGGCCATAAAAAGATAAGATGCTTGATGAGTCCATTACTCATAAAAGATACACTTTGAGGACAGACCAAGGACAGAACATCCTTTGATTCCATTGCTGTGCCCGGACCCTGCCCACATGTAGGAGTTTGCCTCAGGAACAGGCTGAGCTTTTGTAACATCATAGAAGATTAGCCACCTTGTTATCAGACTTTGAACTCCTGAAGGCCCAACCAGACCCTACCCTGCGCTTTCTCTGTTACACTTGCAGCACACAGCTTCACATACCTATCTTCTCCCTCAAGCCTATATAAACAGCCAACTGGCAAGTGGGGGTCATAGCAGAATTCCCAGGGTAACTCCCCATACTACCAGCGTTATTGGAATAAACACTCATATATGATTCCATCCTGTCTCTGCTTAATTTGGCTCCAGTAGTGACAGGTGGCCTAGACCCATTGTGTCTGGTTTCAATCTGAGAAAAGCAGCAAATTTCATGAGTCTGGGGATAGTCAGGGTCAGTTTAGAATCGTGACTTTCAGCCATGGTTTCTGGGGCCTCCTAGTCAGGGGTGCTGGACTTAAGTAAAAAGTGAAATGAACGTGGTAAGAGGAGAGAGGATGTTAAAGGACAGAATTGAGTAGAAGGAAAGTCTGTTAGAGTAAAAAGGGGAAATGTAGTTTGTAAAGTCTCAGAAACTTTGGCTCTGGGAGTCCTGGACAAGGAAGGGAGGGCAGCAGTGGGCAGGTTACGTGCTGATCAAGTGGGACAAGGGGAGACCTCGCAGCTCTTCGGACCCTACATGAGCACAGAGGTTCTAGTCAGGCGAGAGCTGCAGAACAAAGCAGACAGGCCTGGGGAAACAGAGGCCATGCCCACCCCGTCTCAGTGGGGAGAGATGCTCCGGCTGTCACGTGGGGAAGAGCAAGGTCCATTGGGAAATGTCTGAAAATGCTCCTTTGGAGACATTTTCTTTTTATCTACCAGCATTGAAACAATTGACTTAGGGTTAGGACTATATAGGCCTCAAACTTCCTGTTTCTCTTTAAGAGTCCTCATCATATGGTCACTGGACAACCATGCATCTATTACCCAACAGGATAATGAGATGTACATTTCAGATCCTTTATGACAACCGCAGTCATTATGGCTGACCTATCCAGAGTGTTTTCAGTGCCAGCCATGTTTAAAAGCACTTTACCTTATTTATCTCATTGCATGCTTCAATGAAGCCAGCTACTGAAACAAACAAACAAAGAAACACTGAACAATTCAGGAAGAGTTTATTTTTCACCCACATTACCTCCCATGTTGTACCCTACAGTTGTTCAGGGATCCCAGATCTTCTCATCTGTGGCCCCACTTTTTCTATGTCCTCAGTGTCTCTTCCATCAGCCAGTGGGGAAAGATAGCAGTGAGCTCACTGGTGGGAAGCATTCATGGTTTAGGCTGAAAGCTGTGCCTATCATTTGTCATCACATTCCATTGGTTGGATCTCAGTCACATGGTTCTACCAAACAGCTGTGAGGGTTGAAAATGTGATCTAGCCATGTGCTCACAAGGAAGAGAGAGTATATAGGTAAATACTAACAATCTCTGAAGGCTGATATAAGTAATCCAGTGCACTTTACTTGAAAAAAAAAAAGAGTAAAAGCAAAGCGTTACATAGAAAGCTAACGCCTCCTCTGAAAAGCTGACTACTGTGAGTTTGGTATGTAAGAACACAGAAATATATTATAGTTTGTGTTCCTGTTTGGACCAATAGGCTTATATTCTACAAAGTACAGTCTTTACTGACTAATAAGCACTGTTTCTAATTCTTTATTTGAATATTCTCGTCGGTTCATTTTCATCAAGCTGTCATCCCCACTTACCCACTGATGATGCTCTTGTGAGGGTGACCAGTGATGTCCTCATTACTAAATTAGACGTTTATATTTGTGATAATTCTTCATTTCTCAGCAGCATTAACTAACTTGGATCTTTTCCTTTTTCTTTTTAAGAAAATTAAGCTAATTGGGGTGAGATTGGTCAATAACATTATATAGGCTTCAGGCGTATGATTCTATAATACATCGTCTATCTATCACAGTGTGTGTTCACCGGCTCAAGTCAAGTCCCCTCTTATCACCATAGATCCCCCTTTCCCCTCTTCTACTTCACCCACCTCCTCCCCTTCCTGAAATCACCATGCTGTGTCTTTGTCTGTAAGTTTTGTTGTTGTTGCTTAACCCCTTCACCTTTTTCACCCAGCACTACCCCCTCCTCCCTTTCATAAGGTTTTAATTTGCATTTTCCTAATAACTAGAGAATTCGAGCATTTTTTAATACATCTGTTGGATACTTTTATGTCTTCTTGGGAGAAGTGTTTATTCAGGTGCTCTGCTCATTTTCTAAAATTTAACTTTATTGTTGAAAGTATTTTTAGTTAGATTTGTTGGTTCTTGAGTTGTATAAGGTCTCTATATAGTTTGGATATAAGCCCCTTATCAGAGATATTGTTGGAAAATATCTTCTCCCACTAGGCTGGTTGCCCTTTTGTTTTGTGGATGGTTTCTTTCACTGTGCAGAAGCCTTTGAGTTTGGTGTAGTCCCATTCATTTATTTTTACTTCCTTTGCCTTTGGGGACTGATCCACTTTATTACTCATTGCTCAAATGGTAAAAAAAGATGCACTATGTTTGGGCACAAACTTTTTCTCCAAGGAAATATTAAATATCTTTTTCAGCTCTTCCTCTACTTCTTTCCCATTCAGTGTCTTAAACTC